TCACACAGGATCATGACAAAGCATTGTTAAAAAATGTTGATGAGTTAACAATTGAGACAACAAATGCTGCATGTAAAAGGTTTAGAGCACTGTAGGTTAGTATGGTAGTGAAAAGGGTAAAGAGGTTAGAGCAAATGGAATATTGTGTAAAGGCATCCACGTAGATAGGTACAAAAAGAAGTAACTCTACAGGCAGACAAACCACTCTGTAAATAAGTAGTTACCTTGATTTCTCACCTGTGCCATCACCTTTAGTTGCCCACAGATGTGCCTACTTCTGGACAGGCCTTATGAAAGGCACTGCATTTATACCATCAAATCACAAATTAACATCAGCACTGCAAATGTTCAGATTTTGGCTGTCAGTCCCTTTGTATACTTTACAAAATCCACTTATTTCCCTATATATAACATAATTGTATATCACTCAAAATAGTAACCATTTTATTTATTATCCTATGCAGCAAAATTAGTAAAATCAGTAATATACTAGATATATTTAATGATCAGAATGGCAGTGGTCTGCATTTTAACTTCCCAGAACTTATGAACTTTTCAATAACTTGAGGATATACAATGACAGCATAAGTAATTAATTATTTGTATTTATTAATATGGCATACACTGCATCAATTATACACTGGCTAAGATCAAGTGTAAACTCCATATCAAGTGAGCAAACTTGTATGCCTAACAAATGATTCATTACATGCAGGCATATTGAATAGATGTACATCACATCTTAACATTTTTCCAAATGAATGCAGCATCTGACATTCAAACCTAATGCTAAAAAGGGTTGAGAAAACAAGCTTTAAGAGACACATTTAATACAAAAGCATAAAACCTGACAACTCTGGCAGTAAAATACAATCACACTTGTGACATCCTTAAACTAAAAGCTTGTACTTCTTGAAATAGGAATGGAGTGTTTTTAACAAAAAAAGGAAACACCTTACTCAGAACTACCTTTGCTATGTCTAATCATCAGTAAGTTTTCTTAACTGTAATGTACACAACAGCAAAATCTTGTTTCTCATTGACAGAGCTTTGTAAAGAACTGATGAAAGTTTGAAAATATAAGGAAAGTGCTGCCAGATCATTTCAACAAAGTTTAGCATTGCAAGCATACCACTACAAATGAAAGTATAAATGAAAAGCACAACAATCGAAATGAAGGGATGAATGAAAAACAACAATCAAGTATTGATCAAGTGTTCATATTTAATGGGTTTCCTTTTTGTTGGGCCAACATTAAGATGATAAAAGGAAAATAATGAAGTGCTTATGCTTATCAACAAGGATGCTAAACAATAGAAAATAGACAGTTTGAAGAAATTAAACTGCCAATAATTTTTTTTCTGAGCTGATGCTTCATGCTGCCTAATACTCCTGAGACTGGCTCTTCATCTTTCCCATCTTTGTCTCTGTCTTCTTTGGTAAGAGCACAGCCTGGATATTGGGCAGGACTCCTCCCTGTGATAAAAAATTATATTCATTATGATGAGGCCATATGAATGTAAAAATAAAAATATGTTATGCTTCATAACAGAACAAACCTACAATTTAAGAACATAAGAATGTTTTTTTCTTATAGGTTATTTCCTTATAACAACTGAAGGTATCTGTTTAAAAAATTACCTGAGCAATTGTTACTCCAGAGAGTAATTTGTTGAGTTCCTCATCATTGCGAATGGCCAACTGGAGGTGACGAGGGATGATACGAGTTTTCTTGTTGTCTCTTGCAGCATTACCTGAAATTAGCATTTTTGTTTAGGGCATAATTTTCAACACCATTTCATCTTGATATAGAAAAGGTCGAAATGAAGATAAAAAAAAAATTAAAGTAGTCAACCATATAACAAAAACAAAAAATCTGTAGAAAGTCAGGGTAAGAATTAGCCACTTGTCAAAGGCACGTTCACTCCAGCAAAGGCAAACAAATGTCCAATATGAATATTTCAGCAAGATGGGACTTATTGTTTCAACGGTATGCAGAGAACAGTATTACTATATGCAACATGAAGTAAAACTACTAGAGTACAATTCATATAATATATAATATATACATGTAAAAAATAATTTGAAGGGTATACAGAATATGCAAATTATCATTAACTTTACAAAGCCATACCATTAAAATTGAAACCATTAGTCTTGCACCACTTCTACTTCTCATTTTATCATTTGTACTCATTCAGAAGATGAGACAACAGATTAAAAGGATGGAGATATGTAGAAAAATGAATGAATGATAATTACGTTTATATCAAATGAGATTTATGTTTTTCCATTATATGTTCATCAAAAATGAATATCTGAATACAAAAACTTGTCAAATACATTTCATTTACTAAATATACTCAGTCTCATTCACACCTTTTCTATATTTACTGCAATGAACACAAGAAAAACTTACCAGCCAACTCCAAAACCTCAGCAGCAAGGTACTCCATAACTGCAGCCAGGTACACGGGAGCACCAGCTCCTACACGCTCAGCGTAATTTCCCTTGCGAAGAAGTCTATGAATCCTACCAACTGGGAACTGAAGGCCAGCACGGCTAGACCTGGACTTTGACTTGCCCTTCACCTTGCCTGCAATTAAGAATGGCAATCAATGGATATCATAATTTTATCAACTCTAATAAGAAATGTATGAAAGCAGTATTATCTTATCTGCAATAAATGAATCTGGGAAGCAAGTTCGAGAGAATGATACATGCAAAACTCAGAAGTGGAAAGTGTTTACACAAGTACATGTAACAGTACAAGTTACTGAGAGCGACACACCATTTTACAGATCATAAGAAATAGAGTCAGAACAACAGTTTAAGCTTCAGCAGCCTCATTCACTGCTAAAAACGGTATTTGTTACCAAGAACAATGCAACCTCCAGATGAAGTCCCAAAACCATGGTATCATGCAAACCCAAAAATTTCAAACCTAACTTTTCCTATCTTCTATTTATTCCCTAGACAGTAAAATAGAATAAGATGACAATTTAAGCAGCAGCAGCCTCGTACTTACTGCTAAATGCTGAAAATGTCTACTACATATCACCGTTCAGAGACTAAGCCCACAACACCCTGAGTTAATACCCATTTTTTATTGGTTGGCGCAAAGTGCTAATAAATCTAGGGAATAAATAGGAGGTAGGAAAGGTTAGGTTGAGTGTTTAGGTTCCTATGATACCCTGGTTTTGTTAACAGTCTCTGGATGGTGCATCACTCATTAACAATCACCAATAAAAGCATGAGTCTAGCAAGATGGTGCTTTCAGTGCAGAGTTAACTTGCTTATGCAATCTTTTTGGAAAGAAGAGAATTTAAAATTACATTTCTTCCATCAACCTTACATTTAATACAACTTGTGACATAATGCAATACTGATTACCATGCGGCAACAGCCTCAAACAAATTTAGCATACGCTGACATTTTCTTTACTTTTGCTACCATTCAGGATTATCATATCTTTACACAAAGGCTGAACAGTAAAAAAGTTATGGTTTCCAAGCAGAAAACACAGAAGATAAAAATAATCAGCAAATACAGCTTAGCCACAATTGTTCTCAATATCAAACAATCTTAGGCAAGTAATGCTATGGCCTCCATGCTTTGTGCTTAGGTACTAGCCCACAATAGACAACTAAATACATTCATGCATGTTAAGAGTTTGTAGAATTTTCAGGCAATTTATCAATACAGGAAAAAGTACAAGCTCTTGCAAAACTGCAGTGGAGGTAAGGTGGCCTTCCCCACAATCTAGCCATAGTATTGCCTCATGTATTCTTATTCAGGAATTGCTCATTGAGGCTTATTATTAGGCACCTAACAGTATTCTTCCTTCAATCTCTGCACATGGTAAACAAACCATTTTGATAATACTCCATACTTTAACCTATTCTACTGAAGAATCTAGGCAACTGCAATCCTCAGTTCCAGCATATTCTAGTGTAAATGCAAATGTAAAATCGTTTAAATGTAATGGATCTGAAGTACTAGGAATGTTTGGCTTTAGTTGCATCAATACGCTAGTCCATATGTTTAGGTACTTTATTCAGAAAGAAATGTTCCGATTCTTATAAATGCAGAGCCGAGCAAAATTAAATCCTAATAAGAGCAAAGGCATTCCGTATTCCCACAAAGTCTACATCATCGATGTGGCTACCCGATTGTAAGAAATCCGCACATTCTTTAAGAAACACTTTTCAATCTTCAAAGGACTGTATTTTTAAAATCAAAAAGCAATTTCCAACTTCATTTTAACTACTAATGTTTCGGGAAGTGAATGCACGCGACAAAATCCAACCTAATCCCTGTCCTAGTCTTATGAACACTTAACAGAGAAATATTTTCTGCATGAAATTTGAATCTCCGCGGTCCAGTAAACTCGATTAAAACGCCAACGACCATTTGAGAAGCAGCCAAAATCCATGCTTCACTCTTTACCTACACTTTGTTACATCCTTCTTTACTCACCTCCCTTGCCACGGCCAGACATCTTTGGATATTACGTACAAACGAGAAAAACTAAGGGAATTTGCGTGCTTTCACGTCGGTTTCGAGGTCTTGTCTGGCCTGCCTTCGGTTCTTCATGCGGTATTGTTGGCCTTTTCAACCGTCAGCCAATCCGCACCTCTCTCCTGAGCAGTTCTACCAATCAGGATGCAGGTAGGCCAGATGGACCAATCAGTAGTGTTCTTTTTGGCGGGTTTTCGGAATCTGACCAATACAAAGGCAAAAACCTTTGATCACATGGGCAAACATAAGTCTTGCAAGAATTTTAAATATTGGGAAGTATATGATTATCCTGAACATATAATAATTAATATATTTTTACACCATTTCGACAATGGACTTTCACATAAGATTAGTAATTCACATAAAGGTTTTACAATATTAAAAGTTAATATCCTTCATGCATAACACATAATTTATTGTGCAGCCATAATAGTTTATATCTTAAAAATACTTTGATATAATTTTCGTTTCGTATTTTTTGACAAATACACTCTAACTTCCAAGATTAATCTAATGTTTACAAGTCATGCCCGGAGGCATACTTTTGTAAACAACTCGAAGGCTAAGAATGCCGGCCTGACGTACACGTCTCCCTTATTTGTGCCTAAACTAACTTATGATTTTAGATCTTTTTGGATTAACGAACTGTAAGGTTGAGAGCAACCACGATTTACTTAAGAAGTCGGATGTTAAAAACGAAAGATGAACGTGGTTGTCATGGCAACGGAGAAGCTGTTGGGTGTATTGGGGATCGACGTCAGAACTGATCCGCTGAAACCGGGCCTTGGTATTGTCATTTTTCTTTATTTCCCCTTGTTTAGGCGATTTGGTTGATTAGATGATAAACTGCTTGTTTGAATTTATTTGGACATTTTGTGTATCTGATCTGTAAGTATCTGAATTTAAGATATTTATGAGTCGTATTTTTCTAGAATAAGTGCTGTTTATTTATCATATGTCAAATATTATCTCTAGAAATAGAGCAAGAAGTGGCCTTATCATAGGTATTTTTGCATTATTTTCAGTACAATTTCAGTTTTACACAGTCAAATGATACAAGATAATCTTTGCGTGTTATGGCCGGAAGAACAAAATTTATAACAAATTGCATCTGTGGCATTTCCTTAACAAATTGATGATATGAAAGTTGTCCAACACAATATTTTGGAATACATTTACATAATGACATCTATCAGATAGGGAAAATCTACTGACACTGTCATACAAAAAAGGAAGAACTACTTACTGATGCATGAAATAATCTGTGCAGGCAAAGAATGATATCAAAAAAGAAAAAATTAGGTCACAACAAATACCATTTGGGGACTAATGTCCATGGCAGTTGGGTGGGAGTCTGGCAGCGAAGCCTGGATACAAAGGATTTTGGTTCTCCTGGGATGTTTGTGGATTTCCAGGAATCCCCTTAAAATTGTTGGCTGAAATGATAAGGACTTTCTAGACTCAGGAGTGCAGTCACTTTGTAAACCATTACCAGTACTTTAAGATGATGGAAAAAAATAGATTCATGAATATTATGCTTTGAACAATTGAAACTAAAAGTAATGATTACAGGGTTTGATGGCTGTGTGAAAAAAAAATCCACATTTACACTGATGTATATGAAATATCCAGATATAAAAATGTTATTTGTATCATTCTTTGTCCTTATCATTCCTGTATTTTCAGAGATGATTGTGTCATTATGCATCAATCTGATACTGTCAGTGGTGGGGCTGGGTGCTGTCATCAGAACTATCCCTGCTGTTGCTACCATGTTTATAAATGCTGGATTGTTTGGAAAAGATTTGTGCAAGAAAGATCGAGAGAAGAAAGTGTAAGTGAGCTTCATTCTTGACTATCTGAAAGATATGACAGTAGTTCCTTTCTTTACTGTTAGATGTCTAGGAAAACGTAAATAACTTTAATGAATATTTGAATAACTGTTCAGAATGAGAAAGTATAAAGTACTTCCTTGGCTTGCTCTGACAAGGATAAGGAAAATTTCATGTTGAAGTGGGCCATTCCTTGTTACACATTAAGGCTTATTATAAAAGAAATTCTGGTTTCTCATGAACGCCCACATCTGAAAATCACCTCAGCATCGATTTTTAAGATTTTTTTATTTCCAAAGTGATCGATGAAAATGTACCAAAATAGTTGCTATTCGCAAAAGGTCTTCATGTTCACTGGGGCAAAATGCACCATGCGATGCGCGGCAAAATCAAATGAACAGTCACCTAAACAAAATGTTCTCGAAACGTAGTGTGGCGAACAGGATGAAAGTTGGAAGTAGTTTACTAGCCTCTTGGCCTATTTGTAAACAACCAAAATGGTCTCCACTTAGAGCCTTAAAAGTATATCTATCCGAACTGCAACACGTTTCAGTTTACCTCCCCATCTTTGTTAGTCATTAAAATGTAAAATATGTACCTGTGGCACTGGTGGGTCTTTCCCTGAGGAGTCACCAATAATGGAATCTGTCCTTGAGCTGTAAAACTAGCAAAAAACTATGTGCTGTGTATCCACCAATTATGACCTTTCTTTTCATTAAAATTTACATTTTCGTACATGCAGAGTTGTCCATTTTATTGGCATTGCCTACAAAAAGTAATCCTATTTGGCCTTGATACAAAAAAGGGGGAAAAAAAGTATACCACATTTGAATTTTGAAAAAGTTCTGATGAGAAACCAAGATTTTTTTAATTGGCCTAACCAGGGAGGCCAACTAGTTCTGTAAAGCTAGACAATACAAGGTGAAGGTATGCTTGCTTTGCTGGAGAGAATTACAGTGGGCATAGCATCTCTGGACTTTTTAGAATTTGAGAAGTGATTGTATCAGGTTATTTTGGGTAGTGTTATTTTATACATTCTTTATGTCCATTACTTTAATCATCTGTCTTTACATAGTCCTATTCTGAACATTTATTGAAAATGGCATGCCAGTTGATTTTAATCATATATGCACATAATATCAATAAGTATTGAAGTATTAACTCACAAAGATTTGTATAATTTTTTCCTTGTTTGATTAATAATGATATCCAACAGGCCTGAGTCAATGGGCATGGTTAGTGGCCTAGTCTTCCTCATCATCATGTTTCTGTTCCTGGGAGTACCATTTGGTCAGCATTTTATGAACCCAGAGACACCTTTTCCCCATACAACATTTACAGAGTACTTGACTTCACTGCTCTCTATATGCTGTATGCTGTTTCTCGGCTTTGCAGATGATGTCCTGAACTTGAAGTGGAGGTAAGTGAAAGGCTGTATCTAATTGTGGAAACCAGTCTAGTGATTTTCTATAATAGTAACAATAAAAAGCATTGCTATAAAAGGAATTGTAAGTTATTCCTCTTCTGATTGTGTGATTTCATATATGCTTTACTCTATACCACAGTCAATGTATTTAATGTAATAATTTCTGATTTCAGATTCAAATTAGTGCTTCCTACTTTAGCCTCACTTCCGCTGTTAATGGTTTATTACATCAATCTTGGTTCAACAACAGTTGTTGTTCCAAAGCCGTTGCGAACTTGGATTGGATTAACATTGAACATTGGTAAGCAGTTGAGCATCCACCACATTAGGCCCAGTACACAGGAGGTAGAGTGCACATGCAAGCAAACATAGTTACCAAATCATAACCCAAGTAGGCACAGATAATATGTCATAATTTAAAAAAATATCAATATGGTTGTGTCTGTAAAATGCCCCAAACTAAGTTTTGACCTCAGCTGACTGGAATTGTAGTGAACATATAACAAGGGTGCCCTCTAGCTGATACATCTAGGTGCCTAGGCTTCACTGCTGTGACCATTGTTTCCTGCCAGATCTGAGCCTGTGAGTTTCTCATTTATAATATTATCAGTGCTCATTCCCACTGCCCATCAGAGTCTGGTAATAGTTTTGCCTGTGTGGTCACTACCCATTATGTAGGGTCTTAGAGCATTTTCCCCAATCCCCATCCTCCTATCTCTGTCCTTAAGCAGCAGCACATACTCACTATAGCCCACACTTTGGGCTTATTTTTAAGAGAATTATTCTTGGATATAGATTTTAACTTTCAACATTCTTTGATATATAGGTGATTGACTGTTATATTATTTTCAGACTTTCAAAAAATGCAAAGAGATTGGGAAAAAAATGATGGGTAATTTTATTGACATATGTCAAAAATACCATTTGGTTTTATACTGGCATTGTCTTAATGCTTCTCTTTTCAGAGATGTTCACACATTTAGTCTTCTGATAGTAATTGTAACATTGTGCATGTGAAATAGAGAGTAAAAAGCATTCATATAACCCTCACACATGTCTGAATATTTATTTAACTATGTGAGTATGATAATATGCATCTGAATATTAAAATGTGAGTATGATGATATGCATGTAAATATTGCTTTTTATTCAGTGATGGAGAGAGTAGGTGTTGTTAATTCCATATACAAACCCCACCAATAAAAGACAGACATACACCAAAAATAACAGATACATATGTGCTTACATAGGTTTAATGTAAGTATGATAGTATGCATAAAAATATTGCTTACTGATGTTAGTTTTAATTTAGTTAACTTTTTCATCTCCAGACACTTTTTACCATTTTTATAAGTGTGTAAATATTACATTCTTTTGATGTCAGTGGTAAAATTTGCAATTTTTTCTATTTCCAGGCCCTCTGTACTATGTGTACATGTCCATGCTTGCAGTGTTCTGTACAAATGCCATCAACATTTATGCTGGCATAAATGGGCTGGAGTGTGGCCAGGCAGTAGTGATTGCTGGGTCTGTGATAGTGTTCAATATTGTGGAGTTGGGAGGGTACCAGGCCAAGTTTCATTATTTCTCGCTTTGCCTCATCATTCCATTCACAGCATCAGCACTAGGCTTGTTTTATCATAATCGGTAAGTTTGCTATTATTCTTGAATGTTGCATGTATATATTTATTTTTCCTTTTCTTTCTTTTTTTTAAACATTTATGAAGTTTGTAGTTATGCCAGTAATGTGAAAGGATTTTTCCTGCAATATGCAGTAAGAAGTTTGTAATTTTATAGATTATTATATATATATATTTTTTTTTATTTGAAATACATACACACTTGCTTTACATAACATGTAAATTATTGTTAGAGACATTTTTCCTCTGATTCAGTAAAATGTTTAGAAAGAAAATTGCGGTGCTTGTGTTTTTTCATATTTAGATTCAGAGTTAGATATTTCCCCTATTTTGGCTCTTTTAGAGTCAACAAGACAAGTTAGATCTCTTTTATTTATTTATTTATTTTTTATATCATACATATTGTAATCTTTTGCATATGCACTAGGCATAGAAGATGAAAAAATGCAGTACCACATTGATATAGATAAATACCAATAATCCCTGACCAAAACTTGAAACCTGTGCCATGAACCATGAGCCAACAGGGATTATGTGTAAACCTTGCTATTATTTATCTAGAATAAGTATGGAGCTAGTTGATCTCATTTGCACAGTATTTGTGTTAGGATGTGTGGTCAAGGTAGTGTAGTAATACTCATTCTGGGTTGTACCTGAAGTGGCAGAGGATTGAGTCCTGGTCAAAGAGGGTTGTTATTTATCCGTATCAGTGCATTACTACATTATTCCCTCGTATATAGATTCATTAGTATATCTGGCATAAGTTTGGGTTTCTGAATCAATTCCACCGTGATCCCATGGAGATTATGCATAAAACCTCCCTACTCTAGTACGAGTGGAGAGGTAATGTCTTGTGAGTTAGTATGATCATAGTTGCATAATCCTTTTGTTGGGCTGGTTGTATAGTTGGTTTAGTACTGCTGATTTTAGGTCTTACCTGAGGCGCCAGAGGTTAAAGTCCTGGTCAGGGAGGGTTGTCATTTATTTATGTATCACTTATTTATTACCAATTTTCAGATAAAGTAAAGACAAATAATTTGCAAAGTCACTGTAATTTTCTCCTTAGTTAATTTTCTCCTTAGTGTTTTTACTTTGAATGTCAGTGATAAAAGAAAATTATTTATCTAGCCTTGGTGTATCTTCATAGAAAAAAATCTAGCATCTTTGTATTTCTTGCAAATCAAACAATTAATTTTCTTCATTTTTCATGTATGAACTACCATATTTGATAAGACTTACTAAAAACAAGAACCTCAAAAAATCACCCTAGGTCTTATATGTGAAGATGAGGCCACACTTTCTTCCTGAATTTGCACTGTTGAAATGGAGGTGTGTCTAATAAGCCTATGCATCTTATATGTCATCTAGTACAGTCCCTAATTTTTTTGAACGTAAGTTTATACTTATTGTTAATAAAAAAAATTCTTAAATCACATCTATCATTTTCAGATATCCAGCTCGGGCATTTGTAGGTGACACATTTACATACTTTGCTGGAATGACCTTTGCCGTTGTGTCCATAATTGGTCACTTCAGTAAGACAGTGTTGCTGTTCTTCCTGCCACAGATATTCAATTTTCTCTATTCAGTACCACAGCTGTTCCACCTTGTGCCCTGCCCAAGGCATCGTCTCCCAAAGTGAGTTTTACATTTTATAAGGGTTATTGATATTGTTGATTATGTTATACTACATTACATCACATTTCTTATAGAAATTTACCTTTTGTAAGTCAACAGTCTTAATTGTGTGTTGAATATTGGTTTTAAATTAGCTTTCAGCATTAATTAACCATGTCATTTCAGATATGTCCCACAAAAAGATAAACTAGAACCAAGTGTTGCAGAGTTCAAGGCAAGTCAGATTTTAAAGCCACTACTTCTTGCACTGAGGTTCCTAAACAAGCTGGGTTTGGTGAGACTTGAAGAGGGCCTTGGGGAAGACAAGGAAATGTGTCGAATCAACAACCTTACACTAGTCAACTTGGTCCTGCTGAAACTGGGCCCTCAACATGAAGCTAGTCTTACAATGAAACTTCTTGTTCTGCAGGTGCTGAGCTCAGGGCTAGCTTTTTTCATTAGATATCCATTTGCAGATTTATTTTTCTGAGTTGTTTGTTAATGATATACAAATGGATTCTCAGATTTTTTTCATTCTCATGAATATTTATCAGTGACATGCCAGGAATTTGTTGTATCATGTATGTGCATTAGACTTATGCATTTGTTTAATTATTGGTGTGGAAGCATTAATGTGTGTGTAGAATGAGATGAACATTATGTATATATGAATGATACTTTCTTTATAGTACATAGTTTCAGTTACAGAATCTTTTGGTCACGTATTCTATGTAATGCAAATAGCGTTTAGTAAATGTTAAAACAACTTGTCACCATTCAAAAGATATTTTTGATTTGCATTTGTTTTGTAGATATATGGTAAATGTATCTAATATTTGGAAATGAGCATACATTTTGAGTGTGAAAATATATTTAAAAATGGTAGATGTTATCTACCAATAGTTTTACTAAATACAGTTTATGTGTGCTTTTTTCACAAAGTTTTGAATATTGTGAGTAACAGCAGGATTTTTGTGAAGATAAAGTAAAAGTAAGGTATCCGATTTCTCATAGTTTGTTAATTTGTTGAGTTAAATTATTTTGGGAGTGGACAGTATTTTGAAAAGATTTTTTTATTTTGCTCATATCATCCTCTGAAATGAAGACCGTAAGAGTGTCATTCATAATTTCCATATTTTTATAAGTATGAAATATTGAATACAATTTAATTTGTAATCATGTTGAGTTTCTGAATGTGTGTTATCAATAGAAATGAAAGTTTAGCATGGTAAATTGGGTATTTCAATACTTAATTAACTATGAAAGTGTTGCATGTGTGAAATGCAGCATTTTGCTTCTTAGTGGCAGTAAAGTTCTTCAAATAATTACTTTCCACATAGAAAAGTAGTCAGATTATGATAAATAATGTTACATAAATTTTCATGTATGTATATTTTGTTGGTATACTTGTTTTTTTATTATACTGAAAGAAAATGGTTGATAGTAATAAAGTATTTATTTAAAGCATGCATTAAATTTTGCCTTTATTTCTTAGAAGAAAATACATGAAATAAATGAGTTGGTGAATTTTCTAACATGTGCTACACTTCTACAAGGGAGGTCATGTAACCATCTTATATTGTCAAGTCATCTAGTAAACATCTACACACAAATTAATTTTACTGTGTCAAAAATAGTAAAAATATATATAAGACATCTTTAGAACACAAACAGAATTAATAAGTGTATTTTGATTTTCAAATATATTAAAATGATGTATTATACTTGACAATTAAAAACTTTACACTGCATATGTAACCAGAAGAAGCATATAATAATTTCTAATGAAATTGAAAATGGAATATTAACCTGTAAATTGTGAAAAGGAAAATTGTGACTGCTTTCAATCTAGCTTTTCCATGTATACCCCACCCCCTCCTCCCTCCCCCATCTACTTTGCATGTTATTGCTTGCTTATGCCGTTATCGGTGTTTAGCGGAAATGTGAGTACTGGGACCCATTTACTTACTTCTGTTAAAACTTACTCGAAAACATACATTCCAGAGGAGGCACTAAAAGTTTCCTACTATACCCTTTCATGCCCCGATCATGAGCATTACCACCTTTTCATAGTTACTAAACACTTATCTTACCCTCAAATCCACAAACTGATTAAAGCATTTATGCAATCCTTGACTTGACTTCACTGGCAAACCCATTCCTTCCCAACCTCATCCCTCCCAACAATTTTACTTTATGGAACAGTCTTTATATCCCCAACTAATCTGCTTCTGTTACAAAAAGGATTGGTCAGAATGTGGGGAAGACTTTCCTGCCTGCCTCTGGGACTATGATGCAATATCAATACAATGCTACTCCATTCCCCTTAGAAGCCACTGTAAGTTTTCCACCAGTATTGCCGAAAGATTACATTGTAGGCAGGTTGGACATGACCTCCTCCATGAGTGGCGGCTAATTGATCCTCCATGTCAAATGAGAGCATGACAACCAGGATCAGATCTGGTGCTGAATTGAGTCTTACGGCCTATGTTTGTAGGTAGCGAGCTGGTGATCTCGCCCAATGGGCCCCGTCCCTTTGGTCATCTGCTTGTCAGACTATTATGTACAGCATCTTCGATGCCATGTTGGTTATTACACCTCTCGACCTAATTCTAGAACTCATCTTGTGACCGTTTTCCATCTATATTCGAATTTCAGTAAATGCTAACTTTTAGCAATTCTCGTTTGTCATCGTTTGCATACCCAGTACAGCAGAACCTTGTTGATCCATGTTATTCGTGTAATTTTTACCCAGTTCACTTTGAATCATATGTGCTGTTCTCTCACCAATTAGACCTATATGCGAGCTTCTTTAAATCACGCCGTTCTCTATTTTGATTACATGCACGTTTAATAATACTTCTTTAATTGAAGGTTATCCATCCACTAATTGAATCTTTCTCTGAGTGCTCTAATGAGGCATAATTGATGTGAGTTGGTACTGACTTCAGTATGCCTTCTGACAGAAATTCAACTTACCTCTAATCCCATGTCAATTGTCAAAAAACCCAGTATTTGGTCGTTTCTAAGTGGCGGTAAAAGCAATGCGGGATGCTGTCAAAAGGAGTAAGGTGGGTCAATCCTATACTTGTCACCCGTTCTGTCGCAAATTTAAATTTCCTTAGTGATCTCCCGTATTTCATATGCCCTCCTTAAAAAACTCTTCTGAAATTAATGTGCACACCTCACCTGGGTGTAAAAAGCTTGAACCCCCCATTTCTTCTCCAATAGTACCCACTTTGCTTAGTTTGAGCCTTGTCGTGAGAGTGTCGGTGGACTCTCTAGAAGAAACAAGACTTTGTGTGGTAGATTGAACAGCACCAAAAGTGGTGAAATAAAGTAAGCGGTGGTGAGTGGCACCGAATTGTCGTTTATCTCTCTGGACCCTCTAGCCATCTCCCCTCACACTTCATTTTGCTAGTAGCATGTCTTTACTATATTTCTCTCCTTTCCTTTTCCTATCATATTTCTGTCATCCCCTTCGTCTTGGACACATCTTGTAAGGTAGTAGAGAGTCTATTAGCTAAGGAAATGATTTAAGGATGATAGTGAGAAAGGATGAGTTTATTGGTCGTGATCCTGAAACAGCTTTCATACTTCCATTTGCCTTTCTTTTCTCTTCACCTTACCCTTTTCATCCCCATACTAACTATCAGTGCTCTACAACCTTTGATATCGTAACATATTTTGTCCTGATCGTTAACATATTTTTTACCCTTTTCACCACAATAGTATTATAGTGCTCTGCCCCCAAGCCTCACCCTATTGCTATATTCTGAATACACCACTAATGATCTTAGATTTTGATGCAGCAGAATATTTTCAATGAAGAAAAAAATCCTGATTGATCAAATTGCTCTGCACAATTACATGTGTACCAATTATGGTGGCTCCCGTAATGTATTTTATAAGGGCTTGCCTTACCTACAAGTTTGAGTGAAGTGGCAATTCTCAGATTCGAACTTAGCCTCACTTTACACAAGGTCAGACAAAAATCACATTCCCCACCCATTTCCTCCCAAGAAGTTTCTAATCCCCCCCCCCTTCTCGTATCTATTCCTCCTCCATCTTACATTTCCACTTCTTCCCCCTTTCTCTCCAAATCAAATTCTTTTGCTATTCTAAATCCAGTCATACCAATATCTTCTGCTGCCCTGACACCTATTCTTTGTTTCTCAGACCTCTTCAACCAATTCCATTTTGAAGACATTCAAAACTATCAAATAATGATCCAAGAAAACATGCCTAAACCTCAACCTTCCTTCAATCTCTCTCTCCCATTCCCTCTACACTCAAAGTAACTGCCAACATCCATCCTCCTCCTATTCATGTTCCCTCTACACCACCCCTTACTCCCACTCCCTCCCAACACATCCCATTCCCCCCTGCTTAATCTGCATCATGCCCAATATCCCTTTCACTTTCCCCTGGATACAGATGTCACTCTTCCCTGGATTCTCTCCTCCCTGACATTTCTCCTGAAACTGTAATCTATAAACTCCTTGCTCCAATTGCTAATCTCTATCTATGGTAACTTAGACCTAGTAATATACCCTTACTAATCTCTACCTCAGCCCATTTACTTCACTCCTGGTCTCTTACTCCCCTTTGCCCCATTCCAATTCTCACTTACTAAAGCGCTGAGCCACTATAGACTTTTTGGAATGTATTCCCTGTCAGGCCATTTTAATTTCCGAAATCTTATTACCACTTCTTCACTTATTATAATCAACTTTCTATAAGAGCTATATGTACCTGTTGATGGTCTCTTTTATTATTTTGCTTTGTGAATCATGAAAGATCACTTACTTAATTGTTATACACTTCATGTGTATAAAATTCCATGTGTCATGCACCATTAATTCTTCATACAATAATAGTGTAGGGGGAAATTGCCAGAAGCAATTGCAGCCACTTAAGCGGGTAAAATACGTATTGATAGACATATATTTTTGCAATAATTATTTATGGGAATAATCATGAAAGTAATCATAATCAATCTAGGTGGTAATCGTTTGTATGTAGTATTGCTTTTAGATAGTATGTTCCATAATTACTACTGAAGACTTACGATAATGCTGATGATGATGCATGCATTACATTGATGTGTTGATGATGATGGTATGATTAATTGATTGATGAGTGATGTATTTGATCGAATGTATGAAGTGATGATTGATGATGATGATTGATGATGCATGTGATGAATTGTGGATTTGAATGCATGTTTGATGACATGATGATGATCGATTGGATGATGATTATGCGATGATAATTGATAATGATAATGATAATGATAATGTATACAGTGGATATATTTCTAATTGATATATTGATGTGTATTATGATTCATGTATGATAATGATGTTCTAACTTTTTATAAATATCAATTAATTTATAATTAATTAGTATCAATATTATTCCGATTACTAAGCGAATAAAAAAAGAGCCAATAACTGAATAAAAATAAATTGATATTTAATTTGATTATATTAAGATTTAATGATAATTAATTAATAATAATAATTAATAATCTCAATAATTTTCAAACCATATTAAAAATATGATTTAACAATATATATTTTTCTAATGTAAATAGTATTATAATATTACTAATAATAACATAACCCAAGTTTAATAACTTTTTTGAGTTAAATAACAATATTTACATAAATATTTGATTTATTGCATATTTTATATGATATATTTAATATTGATTTATAAATCATAAATCAAAAATGTCAATTTTTAATATATAAATGATGATAATTTCTTATGTGATTAGGATGTATGCTGAAATGTGTGGAGTGTCGTTTATGAAATATATCAATTATTTTATAGATTATAAAACTTATGTTCAAATTGCCCCAGTAAATAGTAATAATACCTGTACTCCAATTCTACTACGTATATTATCATTTGAAATGATAATAGTATACCCCTGATGTGTCCGCTACTCAGACAGTCTTGTTAATGTACCGAGGCCATGGTGTGATTTATTATATCCATAAAAGGCGTTCCTGACACCTATACCGTTTACCGGAACATAAAACATTGGAATACATGTGCATAATTAATTAAAAAAGAATAATTGATTTCTTTTATTTGATTCCACATCATGTTATTACTGGACACCACCTAAAATTTAATAATGCTATTTGTATATTTGTGATCGGTTTAGTGCTTTACATGAGTCTTCTGTGTAAAGAATTTCTCAATAAAATCTTCAATAAACTTTTTGTATGTATTCCACAACTCAACAACATAAATAAATCCAGTTTACTACTTCTCTGTGCAATTATGTGCATTACACAATAAAGTACATGACCTCTCTTGGGCAGGACTGCTAGGTAATATAAATAAATACAAGATTGATTGAATAATTATGATAGATGAATAGAGTAATTAATAGTAAATATCAACTATATAAATTGTATAATAAATGGAAAATTGATGATTTAATA